AGTGTTATCCAGGAACCTGCTTTAACAAGCACCTCAGGATTTTTGCACTAAATTTGAGAAACGGTGGAATAAAGAATGAGACCTGATTTAGCAGAGGGAGAAGGAGGGTCTTGTATGGTGGGGGATAACAGATTCAAGTGAAGAGGAAGAACAGGACTTTTCACAGCGCCTCACACGTAGGTAATATTTTGTAAGTAAACACTGTTGAACAAATAAATGAATGGAAAGGAACTCAGGTATCGGTGGGCCCCAGAACTTATACATGGTCTGCAGGTAGAGCACCTGAGTTTAGTGGTCGTTTACGAAGCGGAGTGAGTGGTTAGTGGTACAGGACACTCATTGTTTATTAACAGAGCTGTTCTACCTTATGGGAAATACGGGGGACTTCATCACACCTGATAAACGGGTCCTGAAGAACTGGTGGTAAGTAGAGATCTTCACAGAGGTGTTAACGGGCCATCCGGGCCTGATCAGAGTAGCTTTCTTTTCTGGCCTTCCTCTAAAACTTAACTCTTCCGTGTTTGGATGGGAGAGAGACAAAACTCCCAGGAGTAGTATCAAAATAACCGCAGACCCAGCATGAATGCAAGCGAATAAAGAATTAGATGAGCCAAGGGGCTAGGAGCGCTCTGAACACTGTTTTAAGTTGTTCTTAGGTGTCGGTCCAGTGAAACCACAGCGACCCCATGTGACAGAGTAGAACTGCCCCCATAGGGTTTACTAGGCTGTAATTTTTACAGAGGAGCCCTGGTGGCATGGCGCTAAGGTGAAGAGCTTGCTGCTAGTTGACGGGTCATCGGTTTGAACCCACCAGGTGCTCCACGAGAGAAAGACCTGGCGATCTGTTTCTGTAAAGATGATAGCGTGGAAAACCCTACTGGGCAGTTTTATTCTGACACCTGGGGTTTCTGTGAGTTGGAATTGACTCGAGTGCACACAGCAACGACAATAACAACAACAAATCTTTACGGAAGCTGTTCGCCAGATGTTTCTTCTGTGGAGCTGCTGGGTGGGTTTGAACCACCAACCTTTCAGTTAGCAGCCGAGCACTTAACCTTTGCGCCACCAGGGCTCCTGCTGTTCTATTAGTGGTCATAAAAATATTGCTAACAGTGTATATGACAGCTAAGAATACTGGAGCCAAAGACATTTCCCTCTGGAATATTGTCTAAGCAAAAAAAAATTCAGTGAGCATTTTGAGAAATAGATGTTGGTACAGAATTAAATTGAATTGACTTGGATTAAATTGATACAGGCATGAATCTTATGCTTTTAACTCTTCTTATTAATTAGCATCTTCCTATTGGTAGCCATGATTCTTTATTTCATGAGGTTTTTTTTCAAGAAAACAAAAATAAATTACCAATGAAATCCTTTCAAAAGAGCATGGCCTCACACTAAGCTGCTATGTTACGTATACGGAGGCGCTGATAATTTTGTGTGTCTTGATCATCATGCTGTGCTTTCTTCACTTTTCTGTACAATGGTATATTGCAATAAAAATTTTACATAAAGAGGTCGTTCTACCACAGGCAGAGATGAGAGTTCAGTAATTGCGTAGGATGTGTGTTATTGTGGTGTGGCACCAAGTCGATTCCAACTCATACAGACGCCACATGACAGAGTGGAGCTGCCCCCCGAGGGTTTCCTCGGCTGTAATCTTTCCGGGAGCAGATTGCCAGGTCTTTTCTCCCCTGAAGCCACTGGTGGGTTCAACCTGCCAACCTTTCGGTTAGCGGCTGAGCGTTTAATCATTGCACCACCTGGGCTCCTTGTAGGATGTGTAAAGTCCCACTTCTAAGAGATCTGTGAAGCCTACTGTATACCATTCTTATTTCTGCGTGTGAATGCAGAAGGCCAACCGCATTACCAAACGGACGCTTTACATCGAATTGTCATCATTTTTACCTTCTTGCTTAGAAACTGCAAACTTAGCTTCAAATAGAAGATTTACAATCAGCGTGCTCCTGGGGCAATGCTTCCTAATCATCGCGTTTCATCTTGAAGATGCTGCCCCCCATCTCTGCTGAATGTCGGCTGGAGCAGGTTGGAGGGGGGCATTGAATAATCTCTCTATCCTCTCCCTGGGGAGAGGGGTCAAGGTCTAATTCTCAGGTTTTGCGTGTGTGTGTGTGTTTGTGTGTGGGATCTTATTGGTAATTATTTTAAAATAATTTTCTGTAGGCGCCTTGATTTGTCCTACCAATTCTACACTTAAAATAATAATCAAAGTATTTTTCTAAATGTAGGCCCATCTAAAATTAGGATTGCCTATCTACGTTTTCTTCAAATCTTACAACTGAATGAGCTGATTAAAGCAAGCCTTTTAAAATTTTTCTTAGAATCTTTAAATTAACAAAAATAAAATCGCCACTCTGCATTTTTAACTGTAAATAACCATGAGGGGATGTGACGTGAAGTCCTGACAGGCAAATCTGCTGCCCAAAGACAGAAGAAGGAAAAAAAAAATCCAGGAAGGGGGCTGACTGTCCTCATTGGCTGCATAAACTCAGTTCTGATCAGATCCTAGTTTAGAGAAGAGATTTAAAACTCCTAGAGATTCTGCTTGGGGTTGGGGGTGGAGGGGAGAAGGTAAGGCTGGTCTCCACGAGATAAATAAGAGAGTACAATTAATGTGCTTAATTTATGTTCTAAATCAATCCAAACAGAACACTGTTTGGCTTTCTATTTGCTTTGATTTTCTTCCTAATAATACATTTCTTGTTCTTGAGCCAAAGTAAATATATGCCTAGCTGCTTTTGTTTAATCCTGCCATCCATTCCACCATTTCCCCAGGGTTTGTAAGCATTTCCCGATGATAACTTGATGTAGAACGTTCTTTTTCTGACACTCACAGGCTCCTGGGTAGCCTGTGCAGCCCCAGTCCTCGTTATTCTCTCAGGCCTCCTACTTTCTCTTTTCTCGGCTACCATCTGTCTTTTCTAACTCAGTGCTAAAATCTTTCTTTCTCACTGCCTGGTGGAGGAGTCCAGCTGCATTACCCGGAGAGCTAA